CCTCTGTGAGGACCCCATCCCCACACACCCGCCTCTGTGAGGACCCCGTCCCCACGCACCCGCCTCTGTTTCCCTTTCTCTCTCGCTTTGTGGTTGTTGTGTCCGCTCTTTTCCTTACGTGGTCACCATTAACACTGTGCTCTGGAACTTCAGCAGAGCTTGGCATGTCCTGGTGTATTTGATACCAGAATTTGGAAGCAATGAATGATTTTGTTATGACTGCATAGTCTTTATTCACTGCCAGCCTACTGTTCTTTCATTTCTACCACGTTCCTTATATAAAATCAAATTTTGCATTTTAATAATAGTCTATGATCACACCACATTTTAGTTTGTCTCTACATAGAGCAACAGAGAGAGAGAGAGAGAGAGAGAGAGAGAGAGAGAGAGAGAGACTCCACCCACAGTATTCCAATAAAATGTTTATTTTCCATCAATTTTGTCTTGAGTATTACAATGGTCAATCTTGATTGTCAGCTTGCAGCTCCCTGTTTCCTGACCATGGATGCGGTGTGAATGGTTGTCTCACGATCTTGCTATGACTCTTCCCTCTAATGAGACGCATGCCTGAATCAGACAAACTGCCTTCCTACATTGTTTTTGTATTTGTCAGAGCCACAGGCGAGAGCTGCTAATATAGATAACCACCATCCGAACCCCCACACGTGTCCAGGTTCCCTCTCTCTGACGACCACCATCAGAACCCCCACACGTGTCCAGGTTCCCTCTCTCTGATGACCACCATCAGGAACCCCAAATATGCCAGAGTTGAACAACTGCTTGAGTCCAGCATCATCTTAGGTCCTTCTATGCCACCATGAAGTAGACAGAACTGGTATTGTCTTCATGTCCCTAACAGGATCATTGAAATTCAAAGAGAATCTCAAATGGCAGGATAATATTCCATCGAATGTTTATAACTGCCACTTAGTACAGTTTGTAATAGAAAATGTAATTATAGCTTTTTTACATCACCAACGTAATACATTCTTATGTTAAAGAAATCCATAAATACAAAAATTGGATGAAGGAATATATTCCCAAATTTTAGATGTTATCATTTCTTTTTGCATATAATTTAATACTTATTCCCACATAGTCAAAATCATATTTTAATGGTCTTTTAAATAAGTTTCTTTCTAAAATAAACATATTAATTTCTCCTTCCATTAGACATGTGTGTCAACATCATTCCCAATGACAACGTGATCTTCTGCCTCCTGATAAATGCTTTCTTGCTGGTGGACAATGTATTTCAACTTCTAATAATTACAAAACAATGCTTTGATTGTCAGGCAATGTGAAGGTGGTTTGAGAACATGCTGCACCCACATGAAGATGAAGTCAAGTTTTAAAGACGATGCATTCAAACCACCTGTGGTTTGATTGCTATAGAGCGTTCCCACTGATAGAAACTGTGTTTTCTTTTTTGACAGGAACAAGACCCTTTTGTTTTACTTTAACCTGTTCAGCTGTGCCAGCTCCACCGTGATGTTCACGCTCCAGTGCCCGACTACACAGGTAAGGCAAAGGCTGCCTTCATGGTGGTGCTAATATCTCTCACATTCAGGTGACTTCAGGAGCTCCACGCTGAGTCTGTGAGGTAGGAAAACGTAAGCCTGATGTCATGTTCGTTCACATCCAGTCAAAGCTAAGGCAGAGATGAATCATTTCAGGGTTGCTGGGGAGCTTCAGTGATGGTAACCATCTGCTCTTGTAAGTAACCATAGCCCAGAAGCTTGTCTGCTGTTCCAGTCATTTCTGTATATTTGAATTCATTTATTGAGGAGTTGTGAATGTTTGGAAAAAGCCATGTTGCCCTGCTTTTTCATGATCCTTGTGTTTTTACTCTTTGGTCTGTGCATCTGATGAGATGTGCCTCTCTTCGTAGCTGTTGGGGGTCGTCTAAGTAAGCAGCCTTCCCTGGAAGGCTGGATCTGCCATCATATTCAGGGAGGAGAAGACAAACCCTGACAGCAGAAACTAGATACAGAAAGTCAAACCAGATACCGAACTCTAATTAAACCAAGTGACACCTGCTACTATCCCACCAATGTGCATAGAGAGGAAACTGCGTAAAAATAATGGAGAAATCAACTAAGATAAAATAACAGCAAATGAATGAAATAGAGGAAGGTGATGAGGAAGGAGAGAAGGGGAAATCAAAGTAAAATATAAATATAAGAAGAGGAAGGTTGTGTGATGGAGAGAGAGTGGGGCGAGAGATAAATGCATGATTATGAATTAGAGAAAATGTGTAAATAAAATCCAATAAATGTAAGAAGAGGAATAAACACAAACACTTTAATGACATAAAAACAATACTAAGAATATAATAGAAACAAGTACAGAAATAAGAAGTCTTAAGATTTGAGGCTCCTCTCCCAGGTCGTCTGAAGATGGGATCTGTGGATGGAGGGTGGTTGTAGCTGGAGTTTCTGGTCGTTCCTGTCATACAGGCTGGAACTGTCCGCTGGCTGGGCTCCTGGCCGGTTACCGGCTTCCCTGGCTTTAGACGCTTCCTTTCTCTGCATCAAGAGGTCCGGCTAGCTTCCCTGAGCTTTGTAGCCTGTACCACTCTAGAAGATGTTCCCACATCCCCCTCTAAGCAGAAGGATCTGTAAGGTTAAATAAATAAACAAACCCAGACAGGCATGGTGAAACAAAGCTCGCCTATGCACCGCCCTCGGCGGGCTGCTTTCTTTGAAGGATGCAGGCAGGCTCCGGCTCCTGCCGTCTTCACTGTCTTCTCCAAGTTGAAGTACTTCTCTGAGTACCCTTCTTCCAGATGGCTCCATGAATCAACCACCAAGATGCAAATCTTTCTATAATTGCTGTCTTTTTAGTGAGGTCATGCGTGCGCACATGTGCATGTGTGTTAGCGTGAGACCAGAGGCTGACTGCAAGTATCCTCTATTAACCTTAGTTTTTGAGACGGGATTTCTCAAGGAACCCCTGATTTAGCTAGGCTGGCTAGCCAAACGTTACCAGTGCCCTTCGAGCATCTGTCCTCAAGCTCAGGGACCACAGGCCTGATGCTGCTCCGGGCTCTCCACACTCAAGTCCTCATGCTTGTGGGACAGGGCTCACTGACTGCACAGCCCAAGACTTCCAGCCCTTACTCTCTAGCTTCTTTTCTGGACCTCAGTCACAATCATCCCTGTCTGTGTTTGATTGTAGCTCTCCCTGTATCAGAAGGCAAACACCTTGAGGGTAAGGACTGACATCTGTTTTACTTCCTGCTGTGTTCCCATTACCTTCAAACCCCCAGAGTAATGATCAATAAATATCTATCGAATGCAGAAATTAAAAATCTTTCCACTGTGCCATACAAACCAAAGTTCCTGTAATAAGGCAAAAATGTCATTTATTATCCTGACAAACAGAGCATCCAATTCTTGTTTATAAGAGCAGTGTTATTGCTATTATATATACCCGCCTGAGCTGATGATGTAGCCGCAGTGATGGAGAATCATGCTGCATGCGCCCTGTGAAATCCGAGGGATCACAGCTCCGTGCATATGCTGCAACTGCAATTTTTGCATCCTGTGTCAATTGGCTCTGCAATGGTGTATTTATGGAGAGCTCTATTCTATGCGTTCTGTTTCTGTCAGTTGGCAGCATGGCCCAGACGTGTGTCACCAGTGCTTGAAGAACAGACCAGGATCAATTAGGATACCCAGCCTCAGTGTGACCTTCTTTGGCTAATTATATGATGATTGCTTCTAATCAGCATCCCATTTGAAGTGAAAAAATGGTCTGATGGAGGAAGAGAAGAAAGGGCAGTTACTGTTTTTTTTTTTTTAGCAGCTGATTTGTGTTTGGAATGAAGTTTGACATGATTCTCTTTGACAAACTACTTTTTTCCATTTTAATTACTTTTTTATGTATTGTGTGTGCACCAGTTTGTGCACGTAGTAGACATTGTGCATACATTTGGAAGTGTAGAATTGCCGGGGTCCCAGAAGCAGCACCCCCTATTATGTAAAACTCAACAAAGCATGAACTCCTTGAGCTCTCGCTTTTATAAATGGGCCAAAATGTATTCATCTACTCGAGTCTTCCACCATCTTAGGAGCAAAGAATGAAAACTTAGATGTCTCTGAGGTACCTTCTAGTAAGTGAATGATTTAGTCAGCTTGGCTCCCATTGGAATGAACTTTTCCCATCCACACCGACACTAACTCTGACCTTCTTATAAAATGCATGGACATGTTGGATGTTGTCAGTGTCTCTATATACCACCCTTCAGCTGTGGGACCTTCAGTGCTGCCTCTATAAGTATATAAGTGTGTGTGTGTGTGTGTGTGAGAGAGAGAGAGAGAGAGGCAAATGAGAGGCTTAAGGAGGGGTGAATGGGGAGACAGCTGGTCCAACACTGTCAAAATTCTAGAAGGCACTAGCCTCCTGCTGCAATCACACAATGTTACTGTGAGGCTAGAGGCATGTATTTAGTTCTTCTCCTACACAGTTGTGTGGTTGACACCTTATAGGTGGTTAAAAACTTGGCAAAAGTTGGGAAAGCTTCCTAGTTAGCAACTGTGCTTTTATCTAACTGCCTATAGGGGTTGGTCAGTAAGAAAAAGTCTCTGCATTATCTATAATCTGCTGCAAACAGAAACTTCTCTAAACAATGCCGAGACCAGTACAATCTATGGATGTAGAAACATAAGTATTTAGAAAGCAGTTTTGCAACAGTAGCAGCTTCCCTGGAGGGTCTGTGTAGCCTCTGTCCATGCATTTTTGACCAGGTTTATAGTACCAGGTATAGATTCCCTCCTATAGAGCAGGCGTCAAATCCATCAGAAAGCAGCTGGTTACCCACATAATAGCCACACTACTAATGCACCAGTAGGCATATCTTTCCAGCAAGTTAGCGTTGTGCTCACAGGGTTCACAGATGAGTAAGATTGTTCAAACAATACGAAAGCTATAACCGTGCTGAGAATAAGTTATTGTTGATCGCTCACCCTAAGCACATCTATATCACTACTGCAAGAGTCAAAGAATGTGGCAAAAAAATGCATAGAAAGAATTTAAGAGCCAGAGGATGGAGAGGATTTCTGTGGAATACAGTCTTCTGAACACAACGTGGCTATGGCACCCATGAGTTCATAACAGCCATGTGCAAGATGTCGCCCGTGAATGTCCCATCACAGTTGAGGAGAGGGTTCATGAAGCCTCAGTCCTCCCTGAACCACTGTTAGCAGCTGATGGCTGGGTGTATGATGGGAGTTGTCACTCGTAAGTTGCTGGTAATCAAAAATAAAATAAAATTAAAAAACGAAGTAACTTCATACCTATAGTCATGCAAGCAAGCCTAATTAAATTTAGTGTGTCCTAAAAATGCAAAAACGTAGGTAGAAGAAGAGAGGATTCAGCAGGGATGGGAAAAAGGTGACAGAGTTAATGGGGGCATGAAAATTCACAATAAACATGTATGAAATTGTCGAGGAATTAAAGCGAAAAATAGTTATTAAAGGATTGATGGGAGATGATGGAACAGTCTAGGTCTGGGGGATTTCCACACAAGGAGCCCAGCTGAGCGGAGGTGCACAGGAGTTGATGCAGCTCTTGCAGGTCGATGTGCCTTTTGTTTCTTTTGAAAACCATAGCCAGGGGCTGGAGAGATGGCTGAGCTGCAGAGTGGCTAAGAGCACTCACTCCTGCTCTTCCAGAGGACCCGGGTTCAATTCCCAGCACCCATATGGCAGCTCACATCTGTCTGTAATTCCAGTTCCAGGGGATCCAATACTCTTACGTGGACATACATGCAGGCAAAACACCAAGGCACATAAAATAAAAACAAATAAATTTAAATAAATAAAAAATCATAAGCAAAAGCAAGTACAGCAGACTACATCCCCTGGTTCTGCCTTCTCCTTATGGATTTGCAATTGCATTGCCGTCACTTGGCCATGGCTCCATGGATGACCACAGTAACTTGGTTGTCACTGAGAAGCTTGCTCCAAGTCTGTTACTGTGAAACAGTTGCACAGGTGACCTCGCTTGCCCATGTCTAGAGAGTGTTGGTAGAAGACCTCACTGGTGATTAATTGTGGCAAATATCTGCATTTTGCTTATGTCTTATGGTGACAAAGTCTAACTATGTTTTCACAATTATGGGGAACTCATGAGCACACTGATGAATATTTCCCATGCTTCAGTCATTTTATTCATGTGGAAAACAAAGCAAGACTCTGACCTAGAACATATACAGACTGCAAAATAATTAATCTTGAATTATGCTCCTACCTACTAATTCAGATGCTCATAAGAAAGTGTCACATTAAAGAATCATGGCAGAGGTGGGAAAATAGCACTTGCTGCTCTTAAAGAGCACCTAGGTTCAGTTGTTCAGCTTCCCTGTTGGGTGACGCACAGCCTTCCACAACTCCAGCCCCTGAGAATCCCCTGTGCTTTTCTGGCCTCTCCGGGTACCTGCATGCACATTGCAATACTGACATGCACCCACATGAGTACACATTGCACATACTGATGCACACGCACCTGCATGTACATTGCACACACTGACATGCACCCACGTGAGTGCACAGTGAACACAAATAATAAAAAAACCTTTAAAAACCTTTAAAAGGGGCTTTAAAAATCGTCATTGTTCTGTGACCAAAGCCCCCAAGTGTGCACACAGAACTCCCCCTCACGGGCACACACCAAAAGGATATAGAATTAGTATAATCTAAATGAACTGAGTGGTTGTAATGTTACCTTACAGTTGTGCAGTATTACTGTCTGGAGAGCCTGAGTGATGAATGTGTGGACGCTTCTATTTCTCACAAGTACTTGTACATTTATATCAAAAATCAAGTTAAAATAAATTCATCTAGAGTTTTTAAACTTTATGTCTCACAGACTATAATCTACATATGAGAGAGAACATGCTGGTTTTGTCTCATGAGTTTGGGTCTCCTCACTTAAGGTTACACTTCCCTAGAGAGGCTGGATTAGGTGATAAGAAGATGGAAGGTGGGGAAAGGACACATGGGATGTGAAATGGGAAATCATCAGGGAAGGCAGGGGAAGCAGGAGCATGTTACAGTGGTCTCCACACTGTGTGCTGATTTAAAATATTACAGTGGTCTCCACACTGTGTACTGATTTAAAATGTTACAGTGGTCTCCAACACACTGAGTACTGATTT